GGAGGCCATTTTTGCCCTCCCAGAGGCTCGAGGAAAGCCTCCAGAGCCCGGGGAGGGCAAAAACACCACCCCACACCATGGTGCAGGAGGACAACTAGGCCACACCCACGATGGCCACGCCCACCCAGCAACTGGGCAGAGAACCTGTTGCTAAAAATTTTGAAGCCCACCTCCGAACTCACCCCATAAAAGTATGTTCAAGACAGACAAAAGGGTGTTTGCAGCTGAAAAATTGCTCTGCGTGCATGTATACATACATATATGTACAGAATATACATTATATATGAATAGCCCATGGCAAGATGGGTGGCAAATGAGTTTAACAATTAATAGACAATAATCTCAACTACCGTGTAGTTTTGTCCCAAACATCCTCATGCTACTCAGAGCAAGCTAGGAACCCCAGAGAGAGACTACCTGACACATTCAACTACTGCTTCTCATATCTCACTTGAGGTGAATAGAAATGAATAATACAGGATACCATAATTGCTTCTGTTTAAATGGTTATGTTTATCCCCACCTCCCTGAACAGTAAGAAACACAATATTTAGATACGTTTAGTTTGTTTTGCAAGGATTCCACTAGAGATGTATTAGTATTTTGTCGTTTTTGTTCTTTACAATTTTTTCTTTGCAAATTACAGTTGAGCATAATGGTTTCTCTATGATGCTCAGCTATCATTTGTTTGTCTATTATAAATTATTATAATAGTTTCTCTATTATGCTCAACTGTAATTTGTAAAGGAAAAAAAGTACAAAATACTAATACATCTCTTGTGGAATCCTTGCAAAACAAACTAAACATAAGTAAGCATTGTGTTTCTTACTGTTCAGGGAGGTGGGAGTAAACATAACCATTTAATCAGAAAGCAATTATGGTATCCAGGGGTGGGATTCTACCAGTTTGCACCTATTCTCTAGAACAGGTTGTTAACATTCTAAGCAGTTCGGAGAACCGGTTGTTAGAAGAAATTACTGGCCTAATCCTGTAAGGAAGGCAGGAAGGAAACATTCTGGTGTTGCTTACAGAAACTGCCTCTCCGTTAACCCTTATTACAT